TATATATATATATATATATATATATATATATATATATTAATGAAAAACAATCGTTTATAAGATTATAAAGTTGTTTAACTATTCTATTAAAACAATTTACTAATTGTTTTTAAAGAAATATTTTTATGATATACAAAAGAATAATATAATATTGATGTTAAAATACATAACTTGAAACAATTATTTATAATTATGTAATTTATATTTATTGTGAATTATTATTAGTTGGTATTAGCAGTAACTATTACATAATAATATAATAGAAACATACATGATTACACTCATTAAGATGTATTAATGTGAGAAATAAAAAATATTAATGACAAATTTTATAACCGAAAATAAAAGAATAATTTTAGAAATTTTATTTTATTAAATATTTTATTAAACACTACACGTCAACAATTATATATATAGAATTACCTTTACCCTCACAATTCACAGAACACTGGAACCTCAACCCTCTCAGTTCTCACAATCCCCTCCTCGCGACTGCAGCCAGCCAGCCAGCTACAACCCTACTCAGCTGCTCTCTGTCGTCCCTCCTTAGCCTCAGGTAGTATTTAATTTTGTTTCTTTTTTCTACTCGAGATTCTAGGTTTTCTTTTCATTGTTCTCAACTAATATAATCAAGAGATTTTTGGCCCGAGTCTGTGTTCTCACTTTTTGATTATTCGATATTTTTGTAAACTTGGGGCCGAGTGTTAGTGATTTACATTGTCTCCAAGGAATTCGTACTGTTTATCTGCAGGCTCAAGTCCCCTTCACACTGCATACGCTTTTCCGCGCTTTATAATTTCTTGTGGGTTTTTTCAAGGTAGATTATTCTCCTCTTTGTTTTTCTGTAGATGAATGCTTCGGTTCGTTTATTGTGTTGACTTCTTTTTCTCAGAGCCAGAGGGCGTTTGAGATTTAGTTCTAATTTGTGTAATCGATGTTGCAAATTCAAATTGTTCTTATTATTGTCTTACTCCATCTTCAACAATTCTGGAAGCAACATTGTGCATTTATTTATTTGATTCTTCCTTCCTTTTTTTTTTTTT